CTCCTCTCCTTTCCTCTCCTTTCCTCCTCCCACCCCTGGCCAGCACATATGTGTGTGCTTTGGTGCTGGGGTAGAATCCAGGACCACACATGCTAGATGAGACCTTTATCACTGAACACCCGCCCCCACCTCATTGCTCTATTAATAAACAGTGTGGAGAGCACCCTGCTAGATGCCACTGTACCCTGGCTCCATATTTTACAGGGGGCCTCAATACATAATGGCACTAGCTGAGACACTGGTATGTGTTCCAAGTTCCCCTTCCCAGTCATTATATGTCCCCAAAGCCAGAGATGCGGGAAAGGCAAGGCAAGGCAAGGTGTGGCAGGGCGCAGTCTCTGCTGGGTGGTTATATGAGGACCACAGAGCGCAGAAAGGACCACAGAGCGTAGTAAAGGTGGATTCATTGAGGCAGACCTCAGCCCACCGGCCTGGCGAGAGACAGCCAGGTTCCACATAATGGGGCATCTCGTTTATAGCACGAAGCAGAGGCATCAGGGTCTGGGGACCATGCAGATGATGGGGAGGCTGATCTCTGACCTGTGGTGGAGTGTGAGCCGACTGCCTGCCGTGGTGTCTAGGACCCATGGGTGGGGTCCATGTAGCCCCGAGGAGGCAGTTCCAGGCTGTGCATGTGCTCACTCACCATCATTGGTTGTCTGCTCACAGACAGGTTCGCTCCATTCTCCAATTCTGTTCTGATCAGGAAGAAATACTTGAACTTGAAAGCAGTAAGTTGTCCACGGCTCCAGGTTTCTGATGACCTCGGAGTCATATGGAGAAGTGACTTGAAACTATAAGGGAGACACATATAAGGGAGACAGTGAAGGGAATCATCTCTCTTTCATTTCCCTTTCTCATGCGCTATAAACTGGGCTTCAGGCTTATTAGAAAGAGCCCCCTCCTGGAACTCTTTCCAGCTCCTGACACATGCTGCATCCTAAAGAATGTGACAAGACTGACTGGGAGGCCAGCAAACCACCTCATTGCCTCAATTCTGTAGCTTATGTGGCATCTAAACCATCACACTTCCCTTAAAAAAACACTGCAGCCAATTAAGGCAACCTGGTTTCTTTCCTCATGGGGGCCCAGTGTGTGACGCCAAAACAGCAGTCTCCTTGGGAGTATGTGCAACCTGCGGCTTGTATAGACCGCTCTAAGGGACCTTGGAGAATTTCCTGGTAGAGATTCAAACCCTTGCTCTCATGCTATCTCTACTCTAGGCTCCAGACAGGTATGTGAGGTGCCTTTGGGATGCCCCCATGCACACTGGCCAGGATTCACACTGGCCAGCATGTCATATGCTGCAGAAGAAGACACATGTGGCTGAGACTCTCTGTAGGACCAAGTTTGAGTCCCACATCTCAAAAAAGTGGGGTTTTGCCAAGTTGAATGCAGATAAATTGCAGAGCAGCAGCTCATCCTGATGGCTATGGGTTAAATGTTCCCCAATTGTGGTCCTCTGGACAAGTGGCAAGCCATGCCCTCATGAGGGTTTCCATAGTGCTGTTCACTAATTAATACATTCGGTTAAAATAAAAAAAAAGATAAGTCACATTTAATGGGTTGAACTGCATCCCATAAAATTTCATGTATTTGTATCTGTAAATGTGACCTTATTTGGATGTAGACTCTTTTAAAATTTAAATTTATTGTTAGGCATGGTGGTGTATGCCTTTAATCCCAACACACACACACACACACACACACACACACACACACACACACACACACACTAAAATTAACCTTTAAAAACTATATTTTTAAAAAAATAGAAATTTGGCATTTTTAAAAGAATAGAAATATATAGGCATCCAGGGATAAAGCCATGTAAAGAAATGGCCAAGAGCTGAAAATGCTCTTTGAAGCCATAGAGAACCAAATGATTGCCAGCAAGCCTGCAGGAGTTGGGGAGAGGTATGGAGAGAACCCCACATCTTCAGGAGAGTGGTCCTGGAGACATGTTGATCTTCAACTCTCAGACTCCAGAAATGTTAGGCAATACATTTCTGTGATTGAAGCTACTAACTTAGCTAAGAGAAGCCATGCATGGTGAGACTCAACGTGCGTCCCACCCTGCCCCCCAGGTTCATAGCATGTTTGTGATCCTTGCTGTTTGGGTTCCCCACATATGTGCCTGGGTCGGCTTTGACTCCCAGGCTCTTGTCCTCTTCAGAATACTGCTGCATTCTTCCTGGAGTCCTTGACTAATGCCATTTGAATTCAAATATAAGAACATCACAAGTAATGATATGCTTCTGAGTTTGAGAAACCAAAGTAGTTCCTCAGCAAAATCAAGGGGAAATAAAAGAGCATACTAAGGGGGGATAGAGCCTTCCTTATTTTTCATAACTGGATCTTTCCCCATGGGGGTGGGGCTGTTGCCGGCTTGTTAGTATTGATTGCAGGGACTGGATTGTAGTTATTGAATCCAAGAAGAGACGGTCACAGCTCCCCACAATAGACAAAGCACCCCCACCACCACTAACAGAAGACTCAAAAGAAAACATAACACATGCTAGATTTTCCTTCTAGTAGTTCAATGCCTCGAAACCTGGTCACGTGATTTTTTGAAGCACAGGCATCGGTAGGTGAAGGGTCAATTTCCTTTGGGGCTTTCTCTTATCCTTTTATTTCTGGGCTGTTCTGGTTACATCCTCCTTTTCCCATCAAGATGATGGAACTTCCAAAAGCTCTTCTTGCTATTTAGTCTAGGGAGCTGATCTGGCAGCATCCGAGGGAGGCTGGCACTTTAAAAGGGAACGTTATACAATGGTGGAGCACGAGGAGGGAGCACCGGACTTTGCAGCATTCACAGCACAAAGTGTAGCTAGAGGACGGACGTGCAGCCAGATGCCAGTTCTGTGGGCGTATTCTCCATAAGAAGCAAAAAGGAGGGCTTTGCATGTCATGCTTGGTGAGGGAGGCACTCGGCCATGGTGAGTACGGGACCGGGTCCTTAATTAGAGGACACCAGTGATCCCTGGAGTGCAGTGAATGGGTCTTCTTTTTGGGTTGCAGGGCTTAGCAGAGATATTACATTGATGAGTGATTATGACTCTAGATATTTGGAGGCATGCACTTCCTGGAGTCTTGACTGTGAGCAAAACCATCTCTTGCAAAGGCAGGTGTCCCACATGCTGTGGTTTAAATACATGCATCTTATCATGAAACTGAAACACCAATGTGGTGGTATTAAAAGGGAAGGCCAGGCTGTTGGGATGGCTTATTGGGTAAAGGTATCTGCCACCAAGCCTGATGACCTGACTTCACCCTGGGACCTACATAGTGTAAGGAGAGAACCAACTCCTACACAGTGTCCTCTGACCTCTTCATGTCCACACGCTCGCGCAGGAGCCCCTGTGAATACCATTAACAATCTTACGAAAGAGGTGCCAGGGAGATGTTCACTGCTCTGTCCTCCACCTTAGTCATCAAAGGACGCAGCATCGAGCAATCCTTTGGGAACAAAGTGAGCTAGTCTGTGTCAAAGTGAACAAGGTCAGCCACTGTGTCTTGACCTTGAACTCCTCTGCCTCTAGAACTATCATTCATAAACTACCCACTTTGTTATAGCAGCAGGAATAGACCACAACACAGCTTCATTCAGCAGGAACAGACCAACTACAGCACAGCTCTAGTCCGTGGAAGATATTTTGGGTGAAAAAATTAACTTGAGATTTATGTTTGGCTCGTGTGTGTGTGTGTGTGTGTGTGTGTGTTTAATTCTATCATCCTAAGACTCTCAGACTCTTGGGAAGAAACTGATGAACATTTAATGTAATTAATTTGCACAGCACATATGTCTGTTTAGGACCGCAAATGGCATTTAGCTCAGAAGCACTGAGTTTGACCAGCAAGGAACAAATGTGTCTACATGAAGAGAAGAGAGCCTCCTCCCGTGGCAGACAGTGGGGAAAGCTGGGCTTTTGTCAGCAAATCCTACAGTTCTAGGAAGAGGGCTTTTCTTCCTGCTTTGTGAGTGAAGTGGGTTACCATGTCCATTCTGAGAACTGGGGAAGCTGAGGTCACGAGTGTGACCAGAGCAACATGGTGGCAGAGGCAATGTTCCAACCAGACTTCTGGGCTTCAACCTCTATTTGGAAAGAACTGCCACCTGAGCTGGTGAAATGACTCAGCCCGTGAAGGCTGATGACTTGATCCCCAGGACTCGGGCATGCCCTTCAGCACGAAGGAATACATATAATAATATTCCTTTTAAAAGAGTGCTCCCTAAAGAAGAGAGCAGTGGGGAGACACTGGGTAGGAAGGGTTAAAAATGACACTCTTCTTAAACGCGTTGGGAGGTGTTCTAACCATGAAGTGACTGGTGTGTGGTATGTGGGGGGTTAGGGGTGGGAAGCTGGTCATTTAGTTGACCACATGGTAGCCGACTCCCACTTCCCCCAGGCAAATGCTGACTACACCCTGTTTCTCCTGCAACTTCCTCTCCAGGGAAGGGAAGGCAAGTCTGTTGTGTGGACGTCATCCCGAGAGTCTGGCCCACGTGTGCTCCTTGACAGAGTCCAGAAGCTTGGAGCTTGTCGAGGACCACGCGTTAGACTCTTCGGACACTACTAGGTGCTGCCACTTTGCAAGACTCTACCTGGTCACGTGTCTGTGCGCGTGCATAGATGTGTGCACACACCAGTATGTGTGTGTGTATGGAAGCCAGAGGTTGGCATCAGGCGTCTTCCTCTGTCACTGCCCACCTTATTTTTGAGACAGGATCTCCCCCTTAAATCTGGAGCTCACCAATGGACTAAAGCAGCAGGCCAGTGAGTTCCCAGGATTTCCTGTCTGCGTCTCTCAACAGTGTGATCACAGCTGTGCACTGTCATGCCTGGCTTTTCACGTGGGCACTGGGGATCCAAGTTCTGGTGCTCCTGTCTGCACAGCGAGCACGCTACCCACTGAGCCCTCACCCCAGTCCCTGATGGCCTTCCCTCTTTATTATCACGGCCTACCAAACTGAGTGGAATGTGGGTACCTACATCTGGAATGCACGTGACAGCCAAGCTTACCTTCTCATTAGTCCCATTTTTCCAGTATTGAACCCTATAAGCCCATGAGCTATAAAGGTTGTTCATGGTCCATGTCTCAGGTTCATTCTCAATTTTGGGGGCCAAGAAACGCATATGCAAAGAATCCGCAAGAGATTCTATCTGCATCTCAGGAGGTCCGATAATGGCTAAGAGTAAGAACACAATAAAATGACAATTAAAAAAAAATCACATTTTAAACACGTCACTCGAACACGAATTCTTCATATATATGTGTGACAATCTATTAGAGGATAACGCTGATCCCTTACAGACCACTGTTACAACATTGAATGATGTTGATAAGGAAGATGGATGGATTTTTTTTTGGCCTATTTAAAAAGATCCAATAACCTTTGTCTTTATTAATCAAATTTAACCATTTATGTTCACAGTGATACCTAATATATTTAGGATTTTTCAACCATATTGCTTGTATTGTTTGTAGAAACGGCTTGGGGGTGGGGTGGGCCCCTGTACATAGCTCACATTAGCTCAAACGTGTGCTCCTCCTGCCTAAGCCCAGTGGGTTCTGTTACAGGGCTTGTACCACCACACTTGACAAAAAGCCTATTTAAAAATTTTTACTTTTATTAGCTTCTTCTCTTTCTCTTTGTTTTCTACCTTGTACTGGCTTGCATTTTCTTTTGTTTTCTGGTCTTAAGGCTACAAATGAGGTTTCTATTACCTGTAGAGATTACTCATAATATTTATCATCTATAACTATAACTATATCTATATCTATCTGTCTATCTATCTATCTATCTATCTATCTATCTATCTATCTATCTATCTATCTATCTATCTATCTATCTTTTTATCTATCTATCTATCTATCTATCTATCTATCTATCTATCTATCTATCTATCTATCTATTTACAGCTTTTCTTTGACCAGCTATTCATGTAGCCAGGTTCTTCACTCCATCTGGATTGCCATCCAAACTTCTCTCCTCGGGGAGCCTGAACATTGTGGCCCCATGGACAAGCGTGGCATCCCTCTCTTCCTGAGACTTTCCACTTTGAGGGCCATAGTCACTCTGTGTCACGAAATATCTACATGTCAGTCTTCCTATCGTCTATTATACTCCACGAGGACAAAGCTTTGTCCTTGTTTGTTGCTGTAGCTTTAATGCTGAGAACATGCCTAGCACACAGTAGGTGCGCAAAAATAACCACTGAAGGAATAACCGAAGACTCCGGGAGAGCACTGAGTTATGTCCCGTGCTCCTCTCTCTGACCACTTTTTTGGGACCTGTGTCTACGGGGGACTGACCTTGAGGCAACTTAGTGTAGGATTTAGAACCAGCCATTCCCAACTAAAAATCTTCAGCGCAGAAGCCTGTGTATCAAATGGTCCCCAGCGTACATTGGCTTGGCTTACGGTTTGAAAGGGACTGATATAAAAAAGAGGTGGCGCTCCAACCTCCGAATCGTAGCAGCCCTCAAGCTGAGGACCTGTGGTTCCCTTCCCTTCACAATGCAGGCCGAGGGCTGCTGCGAGCCACCACCTCCCTGTCAGTCCTGGCATCAGGAGGGAGAAGCAGCCCTCCACCGTGGGCCGTGTTGCCGAGCTAGGGTGTAGTAGGTGAGGCTTGTCAAAAGCATGTTTGATTTATGACATCTTCAGCTTTTGATGGGTTGGCAGGAACCTAACAGCAGTGAAGAGAGTTTAGCTTTGGGGCCTGATGACCAATGGACTCTACTCTTTATCGTTTGTCTCCTTTCTTTGTTTTTAGAAAGGAGCACTTAGAAAAGAAAATGAACTCTGAGCATTTCCGGCTGCAGAAATATGAGTTTTGTGCTTGGATAGAACTGGAAGAGACTGGACTTGAGTCTCTTTCTGTCTGAGGGAGAATCTAACTGTGGAAGCTGTGGAGCCCACTTGTAAGGACCTGCTTACAGACAACCGCACAGACAGGGTTCTTCCCTCTGATGAGCCAGTGAGGGCCTCATGTGAGCCTTGTTCCTGACATTCTCGTGACCTCTGATCTGCTCTATTCTCCTGGTTGCTGTCTGGTGATTTAATTCATTTTCAGTTCCCGATACTCTAAACATGTTCATCCCCACAGCCCTCCACTTCCAACGGGGCATATTCTTTCTGAGGCGTAGCAGCCTGCCTCCGCCATCTTGCACCCTTCTCCAGGCAAGAGCTCTCTCCGAGCTGGGCCCTTCTCGCTCCACAGCTACCTCTATCCTCTTGTCTTCTGCCACACTTTAAAGATGATTTTTTATTTGATTTTAATTTTGTGTGTACAGTGTTTAGCCTGTATGTATGCTCTGTGGACCAGGTGCCCAAGAGGCCAGAACTGCTGTTGGATCCCATGGGACTAGAATTTCACACTGTTCTGAGCTGACATGTGGGTGCTGGGAATCGAACCTGAGCTCTCTGAAAGAGCAGCCAGTGCTCATAGCCACCGAGTCACCTTTCCAGGCCCGTAGTTCTTAGTTTAACTCATACTTCCACATTGACTTCCATCCAGAAAACTGTCACAGCTTCCTATTTCCTCTCAATAGCAGGGCTGGCCCTTACTCCTTCTTATCTGTGAGGTAGCGAAGCCAACTAGTTTATATTCATTTATTTTATTGATGACATGTATACTTTCTCCTGCTTCACCTATGAATTTCTTTGAGGTCCCGGCTTCTGTGCTGTGTTAATTTTCCTGGGCCTAGGACATTCATAGGTAGGCATGCTAACGGTTCCTACGGACAGATCACCGATGTGGACAAAAGCCAGGCAAGATGGCTGCATATAACAAAGTGAAAAAATAAATGGCTTACTGTCTTCCACAGGGCAGAAGGTGACGCTCACCCACTCGGAATGTTCCTCTGCAAACTCAGCCCTGACTCTCACGGTGTGGTCGCCGTACTTAGAAAGATTTGAGAAGTCACACTGGGTAGAGGCAGTGTTCTTGCATTGATCTTGGAAATGTACGTAACTATAGAACCAGAGAGAGAGATGCAGGAGAGTTTAGTCTCTGGGCTGACGGTTGTGTTATCCCCTGTGATACCGAAGTCAAATGTAGGATGATGAAGGCAAAAGAAGTCTTTGTTGGGTTTTGCTTCGTATTTTTAGAGACTCTCCTTCTGTTGCCCAGGCTGGCCTCTCTAACTTACAATCCTCCTGCCTCAACACCCCAAATACCAGGGTTTCAGGCGTGCACCACCATGCCTGGAAACTTCTTAATCACTAACTTGGATAAATGGTATGCCCAAGGAAATTAATACTTTTCAAACTGTGTGTTTCCTGAGATCTCAACGATCCCTGAGGAATCACAAGGCATTTAAAAACAGTCCGATAGCCAAGACATTTGCGGGAAAATCGAGTTAAACAAAAATTGGTATCTTGGCAGGAGAGGTTTCAGCTTCCCAATAAGCATTTATGGCTCCACTCCCCAGGCTGAGTATTCAACACACTTGACCGAGAAAGCTTCCTTCCCGGATTGTGCCTTTCCGAAAGCATTGGGCTATGATTTGTGAGAGGCTGACACAGGCAGGCTAACTAGGAAATAATCAGATAACTTTGAATAATGTCCCAAGTGTGATTCACATGGCCATGCTTCTGAAAAGATTATAAAACAACCCATCCATCCTCAGAACATAGAAACAACAGCAGCCACAGCGGGAGGGTGGCAGACGTGGCAAGTGCCACTCAGCCTGAGGAGGGGTAATTCGCTGCCCCCAACCTAGGAAAACATGAGCTCCCTTCCTGGCTGTGCCGAGCTGCCTGACTGGTTCCCACCACACCTTCCTGTCTGGGTGTGAGAGCCAACTGGGCCACTCTTACTGTCTGTTTTGATTTCTCTTCCTGTTGCTATGCTAAGATACTCTGACAACATCAATTTAAAGCAGGAAGTTTATCTTAGCTCACAGATCCAGAATTCAGCCCATCACAGCAAGGCGGTCAAGGCATCCGAAGCCTGAAGCACATGGTTAGAAGTGAGCAGAGAACACACGTGTGTGAGCGTTTGGCTCACTTTCATTTTTAGTTAGGTGTATGCGTGTGTGCATATATTCTTGGAGGCCAGAAAAGGACATTGAATCCCCTGGAGCTAGAGTGGGGTGCCCGGGAGCTACCCCACAGGCAAGGGGGAACTGAACTCTGGTCCTCTGCAAGATCAGCAAGCGCCCTCCATACATTCAGTTCTGCTGACGTTAGGGTTCTAGGGACCACATCGGGGCTCACTGTGTCATGATTGATGCTTTGTAAAAAGTAGGTAGGGACGACTGAGATCACAGTGTTCTGCAACCTGCCTTTCCCACTTAACATACACAAACAGTTTGGCAACCACCAGCTCTTCATGGCTGGCAACCTTGCATTTTACTATTGCCAAGTCCAGGGGTCATTTCATGAAGGGGTTTTCTCTTACTCGGCCACTCCGTTCACTTAATACATCAGGTGGCTGACACATGTATTTCAAAAGCCATTTCGTAGCCACTCCTCTTTCCTGTTTTTCACTGATGAGTACTTTTGCTGGTAAATACATAATATGATTAAATGCTGGTGGCTTTATTAAAAAAAAAAGCAGTACCAGCATATACATGCGTGCTTTCTGTCACTCACCTGTGACACCCTCCCAGCACTGTTTTGTGACTCGGCCATCAAGGCCGTCAATAGTTAGATACCTGTGGCCCGGCCTCAGGTAATCATTACGGCAGCAACAACTCCAACTGATATAAAAAGAAGTTGATTTTCCACAGTGAAATTGCTCTATGTCTTTCCAGACCAAGTGGAGAAAACATGGAGACGAAACGTCAAAATCTGCCTCACTAGAGATGCTGCAGAACGACCCTTTGTCACCCACGGACTCTGGTCTACAGATAGCTGAGTTGAGGTGTAAAAGAGCGTCCTGTTTTTATGTGACGCACACTGAAACGTATGCGCGCGCGTGATGGTGGCTTTTCACCGTCAGCCTGATGTAAACACCCTCCGCCGAGTCTGTCTACCAGAGTGTGTCCAGGAAGGTTTGACAAATCCCGGATGCCTGGATGTGAGCGGCACTTTCTTAGGAACTGAGGCCTCAGACTGACTTTAAAAAGGAGGGAGGGAGCCGAGAAGCAGCTTCCTCTCTGCTTCCTGACTGGATGCCCGTGTATGACAGGCTCCCCACAGTGATGGGCTGTACCCTCAAACCAAGCCTCCCCCCAAAACCTTTCCTCACTCACGTCGCTTTGTCAGATGTTGTCATAGCAATGAGAGAAGAAATTAATACAGCAAGGCAGAGAGTCCAGGGAGGAAAAAACAGAGTTAATACTAAAAACTGGCAAATCTCAATGTAGATGCTCTAGCTTTTATTACTATTCTTAAAACGTTGAAATGTTCGGTTTGTATGAAATTATCTCAAACTAAGAAAAAACATTAAATACCCAGCACGTAGGCAAGGGTCACTTTATTCTACTTTCTATTCCTTCTTGAACTTTGTCACCCCTGAGTGTGTGTGTGTGTGTGTGTGTGTGTGTGTGTGTGTGTGTGTGTAAAATGGCAGCTGCATGGAAAAGAGGGGAGGGCCACCGAGATCTGGAAGGGAATGCTCTCCTGTCTGGCTGAAGGGCCTGTCTGTCTGTCTGTCTGCCTATGGCTCTGAGTCACAGGTGTTGGCTGATGGCCTTGGGCCTCCTGCGGCCATTGGTGGCCCGCCATCCAGCCTGTGGCCAATGGTGACAGGCTGTCGGGGGAAGGCTGGCCTGCACTTCCCTCACCAGGTGCAGGGACTTGCAGACAGGCAGGACAGAGGCCCCTGCAGTGGTGGAGGCTGATGCTAGAATGTTCTAGGAGGAGGGTGGTGGTAGGGAGCAAGGGTCTCCCTGGCTCTTCTGCACACCTGGGATGTTCACGCAGCATCCACTTGTACACTGCTGACTTTTCACAATGCTGGCTGAGTAACTGGAAAGGACAGCATTTGTTTTCCTCTTCAGATACATCAGTTTGCGGACAGCCTGGGCTACATAGTGACATCTACACTACCCTGGACTCCAGGCAAGCAGAGCAAGGCCTGGAGACAGAGGGACGGCCCTGGAGGGGCCTGAAGAGAGTGCCCACTACATTATTTTCCTTTAGAGAAAGGAGAGGGCGAGCAGGATGGCTCCCCGGGAGCCACCTGTCACAGTCCCACAGGTGGACGTGGTTAGACTCTGTCCCGCCTGAGGTCCAGCCCAGGGCCACCATTCTCTGGCACCTTCCTGCAAACGGCCATCAGACCTACCTTTGGTACTGGGCTGTGAACGTCAGATTCTCTGTGGGGAAAGCAGGTAACTCCCACTGTAGAACGTTCTTGAAATTAACCGAGTTCATCTTAACATTCTTAGGAGGTGGAATCATTCCTAGAGCTGAAAAAAAAATAAGGGGCAGGGGGAAAGACTGAAATGTTTTCCCCAAAAAGAAGACCAAGAAAACGACTACATTCAATATGGGTCTCCGGGATCCACATCTTCAAAGGTTGTGTGTTGGGGGTGGGGGTATTAGCTACGTTGAGGAGGCTAGGTTTTGTTTGAAGAAACAATGAAAAGAAATTTGGGGGTGGACAATAGTTGGGGACAGATGAAGGTGACTGGAATTTGAGCGGTAGAGATGGATATGGGGTCAGGGGGATTCCAGACCAATTTTTATAAATTCTACACTCCATAGAGACCTGATGGAGACCGGTCAGGGTTAAGGACCACTTCTGGCTGAAGACCAGGGAGCCCTGGTTGGAGCTGGGGGTGGGGGTGGGGTGGGGGCTGGGAACCCAGGAGTCTCAAATCAGCTGCACCTGACTGGATCTTCCATGGAGACTCAAGAAGGGTTATCAGGGAGTGGGTCTGAGGTTGCAAAGAGGGCAGCCTTGGGCTATGGACAGAAATATTTTTTTTTTAAAGTTTTTACGTAGAAAATTTTAAACCACCTAACCTGGAGCCAACAGAGACGACGTGTGGCAATAATTATTCAACACCAGGCTGCCTGGGACTCTCTCAAAGTCCCATGATAAGAACGGAGAGAGGAAAGGATCTCAAGCAGAACTCATCTGAGAGATGGGGAATCCCGTGAGCTCAGCACAGGGGGCACATGATGCCCAGAGTCCCCGCTGCTGCTGAGAGTCTCCCGAAGCTATTTGGGGCGCTGAGGAGCCCAATTCAGATTTCAGGGTGTGGACGTGTGAAGAGGAAGGCGTGGGGAAGGAAGGGGAGCCGGCCCTACAGAGGAGCGGGCAGAGGAAGGGAGCTGCGGCTGGGGGAGCACTCGGCGCGTGTCCCCGAGGGTCGGGACAGCCACCGCGGGGTGTCCGGGTCTTTCAGAAACGCTGGCTTCTGTTAGAACTCCTGGGGGTTCCTGTCCGCAGCTGTCCCCGCACCCCGCTTCAGTTTACCGTCTAGACAACCTGTAACCCCGCCGCGGGCTGGGGCTGGGAGGGTGGTGGTCCGTCCAGCCAGGATCCAGGCAGCGCGCCGCCGCCTGTGAGCAGCCCACCCACCGTGGCGACAGGTTCCCGGTCCGGTGCTCGCACACGGCCCCTTTCGGGGCACCCCCCCCCCCCGGGACCGAGACTTGGGGACGCCCCGCCTCCGAGTTCCCAGGCCTGGAAGGCCGCCCGCCCCGGGCCCCTGCCCGCCGCCGA